GGGACGCACACTCATCAGACGAAACGCGGAATTGCTTCCACTTGACGCCTGTCTTCTGTGTGGTCGTGGTATTTCACCGGGCGAACCGGGCCAATTCGTGCGAAGATGTTAAAGCGGGCTCTACCACTAATAAATTGTTGTATCATTGTTGACAACAAGCATTAAGAGCAAAGCATTTTTATTGGTTCGTGTTATAAAGATTCGCTTATTTTTAACCTACTTCAAAAAGTTCTTTTCTAGGCCGAACGGAAATAACAACAATTGTACAATATAGATATGTAACAAGACAGAAGAGAATTTTCTTACTTTCGTTGTTATTCATGACATTATTTTGTTACTTTTTAGTTCATTTTGTTTGAGATTTTATTTTAAAGTCGGTTTTAATTTTTACCCGATCACGATGCTAAAAAGATCTTTGAATGAACAAAAAAGGAACACAGTTGACTAAAACGTCCGAACCTCTAACTTTAATATCCGGTCTCGAAGACTGGCGCAGTCTCCAGTTTCTCAAAAGTTCCGGCTTGAGACTGAATTGAAAACGTTACAACAAAATCACAACACAACTTATTACAATTGATTATTGAAAACACTATGAAATTCAAGAGTTTAAAAACTTTTTAATACAGTAAATGTAACAAGTAGCTTTGAAACTCGAAATCCAAATAAACTTGAATTTATTTATCAACGACATATCCTTTAAGCCGACTTAAAAAAGAAGGAGGTTAGCAATTCGTATGTTTTTTATCTGTGTTACCGCGTAACTTCGCCCCTGGTGCTCCGAATTTGAAAATTTTTTAGTAAGTCAAAAAATGGACATCAAATATTTTATACTACAAACTTTGCCCGTTGAATTCCAACTAAATGTAGATAAATCTGGTTACGATTCGCGTACTGCACGACGCCGCATTTTGTCGTTCGACGCTTTGGATTTAATCCCTTCCAGTTATATTACCAGAGGATATAGGATTCAATTCTTATAATAAAAACAAAGCGATTTTACTCACAATTCAACAAGAAACAAATATGACAGTCATTTTTTTTT